TGCCAATAATGCATATGTAGTTGGGAACAGTGTATACTCTTAATTTCTCAGTGCAGTGTTAATCCCTCAGCTCTTTCATTTGAGTAACTTAATATTTAGTCACTCATTAGTTTGTTTTTTTTGGCTTTTGCATATATAAAACACAAACAAGAAATACTGTGATTATGGGAAATTAAATTATAGGCCACAAAATGAATTCTAACAATTGATATCATTCCTTTCAGGATGAGCACACACCCGCATCATCTTCCTTTCCTGCTATAAAATTCTAATTCCCATTGGTTAGTCAAGTTGATAGGGCATAGCTTACCTGATTTTCATCCTGTACTTCCATGCTGTACTGATCACCTGGCTGTACTTCCGGGACTTTCTCTCCAAGGAGGAAACCCAGACGAGTCATGAGTGTGTTTGCTGCCTCATCTACAGAAGGCGGTGGACCAAGTTCCTGTTCAACATCACCTGCAGCAAGAAGAGAGCAAACATAAATCTTAAAAACAAAATGGTTTAGTTCTATTGCTGTTTTTATATTGTTTGTTTTTCTTTAGTTTTCACATTCTAAATTCAAAAATTATAATGCTCAAGTCTATCAGCTGAATTTTTAAATTTCTGCATGAGTGCATGTATGCTTGTGTGTGTAGAGGTCAGAGGTAAGTCTCAGTGTTGTTCCTGAGCAGCATTTACCTTGTTTCTGAGATGCTGGTCTTTCACTTGTACTAGGGAAGATTGACCGGGAAGGGGGGCCAGTTAGTCCTAGAGATCTGCCTGTCTCTACTACCCCAGTACTGGGATTACAATCATGTGCCACCATGACAGGTTTTTATGTGGGTGGGAGATTGGACTCGAGTCTGCCGGCTTGCATCGCAAACACTTTAATAACTAAACCATCTCCTGAGCCCTTGATTTCCCTACTTTTAAAGATTGCAATTTTCACAATCTATTAAGACTATTCTCAATCTATGTATAAAAATACTTGAATTGAAGAAATGTTTTTGCAGCATGGAAATGTGTAAATGTTACATGTAACACTGTAACATGTTAATGGTTCCTGTTATTTGACCAGTAGCTTTCAAACAGTCTCATTCTTGGATCTATGTTTTAGTTGCAACAGCTCCATCCTTCAAGTTCCTTAGATGGTTTCTCTTTTTTAAAGAGTTTGTGTAAGTACTCCTTTTATAGGCTGAAGTAATTTAAACTTTTGATAAAGTTTCAAAATAGTACAAAGAATTTCTGCCCCACCCCCAGCCATATAAAACGTAGAATTCTCCTTATCCTCCATAGCTGACCATTTTCTATAAACACATTCTTTTGTGTAGCTCACAGGCCAGTATCCTGACCTTTCCCATTACTATGACCTCAGCCCCATGCTGAACCAAGTTTGAATCCTTGGTGACATGCTCTAGATTAGAAACTAGCATTGCAGCGTTACACAACTCAGTTATCAGGTCATTTTCAAACTAAGAAACAGCTTTACTGTTAACTGCCATGACCCTGACTCTTATAAGGCTTACAGTGTAGGTATTTAGTGCAATGTTCTTCAATTTATCTTCTGAGTCTATCCAGGTTATGCATTTCTTGGGCATCAACAAACATTGCGAACGAGAATTTGGGTGATTGCCCAGGTAGTCAGTTGTCTCTGTCATTTATGGCACATTTTGGATATCTCTCATTTGTTAAGTAATATTTATTCCCTTCTCAGATCTTTGACAGAGTTGAAGATTATATAATTGTAATTACTCTCTACATTATTTAGACTCCTTGAGATAGAATGTCTGGTAAAACTTTTGTTCTCAATATTGTTTGTTATATCTATTATTTGTTATTATTGTTTATAGTTGTATTTGGTTTAGTTCTGTCTTATTTAAACAAAAAGGGGGAGATGTAGGGATAAGCCCGCCTATTGGGGGCGGGCTCGCCACTGGCGAATGTTTACTGATAAATCCCCTTCCTGTTTCCTGTACTTCGCGGGAACCTTGGTTTCGTGAGTCTGGTTTTCCCATTAAAGTTGTGCAAATACTTATCACAATTTGTCTGCATTAATCTAAGCCGCCACATCACTCAATGAACAATTACATTGTATTCATATACACATATATTTGTAAAGTAGTATTTATATGTGCAAATATATATACCTACACGCGTATTATTTCCTCAAGTACATACACATTGTTTATACATATACATTTCCATTTTTGTTTGTAAACCTACACACACAGAGTTCTCAGTGACAACTCTAATTCTAACCCAATACCTCCTTAGGGTTAGTTCATAAGATATAATTCTCTTCCTATAATATTAACAAAGGGGCCTCTGTCCTTAGTCTGCTTTCCCTCCAGATAACACATTTAGCTGTTACCTAAGGTGACCCTGTACACAATCGTTCTTATATTGGTTGTGCTCCTACTCTAAGCTAAGGAGCTTCAGTCACCACCACTTCATCTTCTACCCCAAATGAGACAGAATTCATATATTGTAAATTTTACTTCAGTGATTATATAATGCAGTGGCTCTCAGTTTATTCATAAAGTTACACCACCATGACATCACCACAATCTGATTTTAGAATATTTTTATTACTTCAAAAGGAAACCATGGCTCATTTTTGCCCTGAAATTTAGATTCTTAAAATTCCTAATCTCTGCTATTCATTTTAGCCCTCTTGCTTAAAGAATGTCACATTTTTTCCATACAATTAGCCTTTTGGGTTTCTGTTCTAGATTGAGTGGCATTTTAATGGCCACTATAAGAATTATCTTTTCCATTGAGAGATGCTGAAGAGAAAATAGTACCATCCATGGCCACCATCCCCCACCCCCACTTTATACTACTCATCCCTAAGAAGTTTTTTTTTTTTTAATCAGTCAAAACTGAGCCAGGGAGCTTAAAATGATTCATTATAAATGTGATATGGAATTTTTTTTAATGATATATTTACATGGCCATAAGTAAGTATTTTTTTGGTTCAGATGCAAGCAACTCTCACTTTGTAAGCAAGCATACACAAACCCTATGTAATATTTTAGATTGCTTTTTATATCTTTCTGTTACAGCAAACTTTAGTTATAGTGTTACATGGTTTGCCACCAGGATACAAAAGTTTTTTATAATTTATGATAATCAGTATTAAACATTTAAATACTTCAAATGCTAAGAAAAGTTTTGGTTTTTAACATTCAGTTTCTTATTTATCGTGACTTCCCTCCTATGGTCACAAACTGGATTAGACAAGAGATGCATGTATATTTTTGTATACTAGTACTAAAGTTCTGTCTGTGGAAAAAAAATCTAGATAAAACTATTATTGAATTTATGTCAGAGGATCTATTTTCCTTTCAATGGTCACCATAAATTTCTTTTCAACAGAACAGAAATAATAGGTAGAATTATTTTTATACTGTAAACATGCATTTATGTGCTAGCATTCTTTCAAATGACTGAAGCTTGTTGTTTATTGATTAAATAAAATGATAAATTGTTCTCCTTCAGCTCACAAACAATCCCTTTTCTCTGCTACACATTAAACTAATTCTCAACTTTTATCATAGATTCTAGGTCTCTAGATATTCAAGGACTCCATTTCATTTTCTCCTAAAAGGCTATAATTACCAAATATTTTCTAAACAAAATTTTATTGCTAGGTTTTACTAAAATTCACAAAACATGTAAGAGATAAGGCTATAATCTATATGGAAATAAAAGGATCACTACATGATGTGTTTAGTGACACACTTAAAATACATAATATACACAAGTTGATATTCTAAATATTTTACAAATCTTAATCATTAAAAATCATTTTTAGGCAGTATTTTGCCCCATCGCCCAAGCTGAACTTGACCTTACACTCTCCTGCCTTAGCCTCCTGAACGCTGGAATAGTAGGCACATGTCACTGTACCTGGATCAACTACTTTCTTCATGAAAAAATGTGACACTATCTCTTGATTATAAGAAGACGATATCAGATGATAGCAGTCTTGACTTATCTTCTTCCCTCATCCGATGCTAGTACGTGTTAAACAAATAACCCTATAATCTCAGTGGCTTAATAAAACAGAGCAGGTTGTTTCACTCGTTATGGTTGTAGGAAGCTCCATTTTGTTGTTTTGAGACAGAGTCTTACTATATAGCCCAGGCTGACCTTGAACTCATGATTTTCCTACCGCAGCCTCTTGAGTGCTGGAATCACAGTCATGTACCCCACCCTCACATTCAGCCTACCTTACTTAATCTTTATAACTTTATGAAGTAGGTATTACTATCACTTTACATACGATTAGAAGGAGGCATATGGAGTATAATCAGTTCAAAGTCCCACAAAGAAAAACTAGGATTAGAACTCAGACTCTGACTCCAAAATTTAGGCTTCCAATTACCATGATTTAGTGCCTTGCTGGAAGGAAATGGTGTAACTAATGAGTGTTGAAATAAGAAACGCTAAAGGTGTACATAGTGAGAGAACATTTGCCTATTGTGTCCAAGACCCTGTGTTTGATCTCTTGCACTGTAAAACAAACAACCTAGTAGAAAGCATACTGTTTATAGTATTTTAATTTCAGCAACTATAATAACACATATATTCTATAACCCGCTGACCTCTATTGTTATCTTGGTCAGAGACCACACTAGGCCTTTTACCTATAGAACCTACCCTCAGGGCCATAAGTACTTTGTAAAGGAGTTTCTATGTAGTCACACCTTAAGCGTTACTGTGCACCTGGAATGGGAACGATTGGGGACTGAACCAGCTACCTAGGCCAGAACCTGAGAAAGCAAGTTCTACGGGAGGAGTGGATCCAGTCCAGGGACATTGGTGGTCCAGGACTGAGCTGACGACCTGGAAATGATTGTTGCCTGGAAACTTTTTCCCAAATTGTACTGTTTTATTTATTTTTTTATTGTTTTTATTGAGCAACAACAACAAAGAAAAATCTGGCAGAGTAAAGTCTATAAATAAGACACTAGTAAAAGGGAAAAGGCAAGTGACACAGTGGCTAAAGACAACTGCAATTTGGCAGCACATATACTAAATTTGTAATGATTCAGAGATGAGCATGATCCAATTTCAAGGATGACACACAAATTCAAGAAGCGTTCTATATTTTTTTAAAATGACATCAGAATTTAAAAAAAACTGCAATTCATATAACCAACAGAGGCCTGTATCCAGAAAATAAATCCCTGCACCCCAAGTCAATGAAAAAAATCTAACAAAAGTTGAGAAATAGCTTCCACACACCTGCTACACCTACACTTCTCACTGTTTTTTCCATTAAACAAATGTAATTTAAAATTTATAACATTCTTCAACACCTGTATATTTAGCATCTTGTTAACAAAATTTTCCAAAAAATAACACATAACAGTCACGTGGCACTCACAGAATTGTTCATATGAACAAAATCTGAAATCAACCATCAATAATGGAAAACGAAATAAGAGCAATAAAAACACCTTGCAAAATATGAAGAATACACACTAAAGGACTTCACTTATATAAAGCTAAAAAGGCAGTGAAACAAACAAAAGACAGGTAAGGGCATGGAGGCGGCATGAGGAAAGCATCTGAACACAAGAGCACAGAACAGATAAGGTTCTGCATCTCAAGTCTGGTAGCACCTAATACATAGGAGTGTGTTCACTTCATAAGATTTCAGAACAAAGAATTACATTCAGACACTTTTCTGTATTTATGTTGAACGTTAATAAAAAATCCACAAACAATGAATTAAGGACACAGGCACCGACTTTCAGAATGGAACAATTATTATTATTATTATTTTTTGATTTTTCGAGACAGGGTTTCTCCGTAGCTTTTTTTGGTTCCTGTCCTGGAACTAGTTCTTGTAGCCCAGGCTGGCCTCGAACTCACAGAGATCCACCTGCCTCTGCCTCCCGAGTGCTGGGATTAAAGGCGTGGAACAATTATTTTGAAGAAAGAAGTGAAACTTATGAAAAAGGAAGTAAATATTTCAAATTCAATATCTATTTAAATGTTCAAATGAAGTAGAGTAAATATTAACAAATTCAATACCATAAAAGTCTAGATTTTCCAAGCCAAGAGGTGGTGGAGCATGCCTTTAATTCCAGCACTCAGGAGGCAGAGGCAAGCAAATCTCTGTTTTAAAGACTTAGAGGAAATTACATACAAAATGTATTAAAACATATCATCTGGGGTGCTGGAAAATGACTCATTTGGTAAGAGGGCCTAAGTTTGGACCAGCTTTTGAGAGACACATTTTCAGTTGTATTCTGGATCTTACTATCTTACCTCTCAGGCCTTTGGGAAACTTGATATAAAAGATGAACCTTCCTCTCTCAAAAATTAAAGATAATGTGTTTAGGTAAGTTTTTCCCATTGGGTATAAAATACATTTAATACTATTGCAATACAAATCACAAACAACTTTACCAACTCCTCTTCTCATACTTTTCTAATGATTATGTTAAGCAGCTGATGTATATAAGAACTATTTTACACATCAAAGGAGGTACTAAAAAGCATAGAGAAGAAATAAATAAAATTGTCTTGGGAGAGTGGAAGGTGGAAGATGAAGAAGTCATATCTGAAATTAATACTTCAATGAGTATGATGTTGAATATTAGACTGAAGAAAAAGGAGCAGAGAGAATAATTTTCAGAAATTCTGCTTGAATTTACAATTCAACTCAAATGTCAAATCCTATGATAAAAACTGACTACATACAAAATATTTAATGTTTTAAAAATGATTATTTCTAATCAATACCACATTACTGGTAGTGTTAACAGCATTAAACATAATGTTTACTAAGGCACTACTAGCTGATCAATCCCTATGTTCATAAAATATATTAAATCATTTAATACTCATAATATCCTATTTTACAAGTAGAAAAATCTGCAAAGATGAAGATCTTGCTTGCTAAGGGCTCAGTGTCAATAAAGCAACTGTTAATATTTTAAATACAGGCTGTCTGGTTCAAGAGCCCCCCCCTTTTCCCCCCTAAACAGGTTTTCTCTGTAGCTTTGGAGCCTGTCCTGGAACTAGTGTAGACCAGGCTGGGCTCAAACTCACTGAGATCCACCTGTCTCTGTCTCCCTAGTGCTGGGATTAAAGGCATGCGCACCACCTCTGTCCAGGAAGCACATGTTCTTAACAACTGCATTACTATGTTAAAATATGAGATTTAAAAAAATATACAATTGGTAAGTATTTGGTTGTTTGAAACAGGGTCTTTTACAGCCCAGGTTGTCCTCAAAGTCCCATCAAGTCTCCTGACTCAGCCTTCCAAGTGCTGGATAACAAGCATGCGTCACCATACCTGTTCCTATGATTATTTATTTTTCTCTTTAACAGAATACACTGCAGTTATTTGATATTAGACAATATGGGAAAATACTTACTGACTTAAAAATTTTTTTTCTACTGAGAATTTTGGCTGTCCAGCACTGTGTTAGGTGTTAGATATACACTTATGAAACATGGGCACCATTCCATAACCATGGGAGAAATGAAATGCAATTTAAATCACAGCAAATTAAGTTCTGTGATAAATATAACACAAGCAAAAAAAAAATAAGCTGCTTTAAAAAAAGCCAGTGAATATTTCAGAAGACATTTTATGAGCCTTTACTTTTAAAGGTACCAATTCTCTACTCAGCAGGTATACATCACCTGTAAAAGTACCTTCTGCTTCAAGTAGGCAATACCCAGGGAGAAAATAATGATTATTTTCCAAAGAGGAAAATACCTAATAGAAAATCATTTAAACCTCTAATCTTTATCCTAACATGATAGCTGCATACAAATAATGAAATGTTTTGTCTTTCATTTTTTTAATTCTCAGCATTCTCTTAGCATGTGCTATGCCATTTACACAATCCATTCATTACAAACTACTGATTTCTCATCGATTTAAATATGACATCTCTTTGTTCTTTAAAAATGAATCTCTGTGTTCTTTCTAACAGAGGTATAAAATAAAAACAATTATCTTGACCCAACTACCAAAACAAACTTGATTATATTTCCATTTCTTAGTTCTTAAACAATTTGTTGAAGTTCTCCTTTTTGGAATACTAAAAAATGAGTAACCCACACCAAGTGTTGAGAAAGTACAAGAGCTTCTCCATGTTCTTGCAAAAATAGCTCCTTAATGCACAAATCAGTATCTAGCAAAAATGAAAGCCAGGGACTCTGGTACCTCCCCACTCACAGAGCAGCTGGTATTAAGGCATCACCCCACATTTAGTTCCCTTGGCCACAACTAAAGATGAGGCAGAGGAACAAACGGAGTCATAGTGAAAATACTGTAACTGTTGAAACTGGGGGTATATTCATGGAGACACTCTAAGTTTACACCTTTCTACAGGATTTCTTGGGACTCAGACACATAGCTTTACCTAGATAACAGAATTATTATGAACTTGTGCTCTGGTGATTGACTAATAAACAAGTGGTTTCTCTGGTCCTTTCAACTCTGGTCTCAGAATGAGTATGTCTAGACCTACTGTTTTTAAGGCACATTTTAGTATGTAAGCTAGACTAGGCCCAAATTCACAGTATGGCCCGGATGATCAAACTTTTAATAATCTTGCCTTAGCCTCTTGAGGGCTGGAATTATGGTAGTAGACTCAAAACATTTTTTCCCCCTTTTTGGTATGTGTGAAAGTTAGAGCACTACACACCTAGCAGAAAGAGAGTCAGAAATTAAATCCAGATAAATTGGGGATTTAGCTCAACGTAGCCCTTCATTTAATTCCCTGTACCTGTCTCCCCTGTCCAAAAGAAGAAGATATTAAATCCAGGTCTGACTCTAAAACCTAAAGTTTTACTCACTAATATATGGGGTCCAAGAATGGGGCATTAAAGTGACTGTAATTCCTGGGTGGTGGTGGCACACGCCTTTAATCCCAGCACTCAGATCTCTGTGAGTCTGAGGCCAGCCTGTTCTACAAGAATTAGTTCCAAAGCAAAAAACCCAGGATATCCAAAACAACCCTGTATAATAAAAGAACTTCTGGCGGCATCACAATACCTGACTTCAAGCTCTACTACAGAGTTACAGTAATGAAAAACAGCCTGATATTGGCATAAAAACAGACAGGAGGACCAATGGAATCATACTGAAGACTCGGATATCAATCCACACACCTACAAACTCCTGATTTTTGACAAAGAATCAAAAAATATAAAATGGGAAAAAGAAAACATATTCAACAAATTGTGCTGGTATAACTATATATCAACATGTAGAAGAATGAAAATAGATCCATGTCTATTGCCATGCACAAAACTCAAGTCCAAGAGGATAACTATATGTTTTTCCTTGGGTTCACCTTCTTATTTAGCTTCTTTAGGTTCACCAATTATAGACTCCGTGACCTTTATTTATGGCTAAAAACCACTTATGAGCGAGTACATCCCATGTTCATCTTTTTGGGTCTGGGTTACCTCACTCAGGATAGTGTTTTTTATTTCCATCCATTTGCATGCAAAATTCGAGAAGTCATTGTTTTTTACCGCAGCGTAGTACTCTAATGTGTATATATTCTACACTTTCTTCATCCATTCTTCCATTGAAGGGCATCTAGGTTGTTTCCAGGTTCTGGCTATTACAAATAATACTGCTATGAACATAGTTGAACAAATGCTTTTGTCATATGATAGGGCATCTCTTGGGTATATTCCCAAGAG